GCATACAGATTAATCTAATATGAAATTTAGGCAATCTTCAAGCTTTAAAATTGCCTGAATATTCACTAAGAACGACAACTGACGAGTTTTGAGAATAAAAAGGAAAAGGGAATGAACACAGTTTTCTTGTTGATTTGTTTTAGTTCTTTATTTAATTTTTTTAAAGTTGTCATCGCACTCTAAAACTGAACGGTGAAAACCTAACATCCCATGGTGTCCCCTTTGCATATTAAATTTAATGCTTTCACATTCTGTTTTCTAATTTTGTGCAAGTATATTTAATATAGAAGAAGTAATCATCGACTCAGGAGCATTAGAAAATGAAATTGAAGCCCACTATAGCGTTAGACAGCACCAATTTGTGATAATCTTGTTGAAGTGATATTGCTAACTTTTTAGTAGGATGACAGGCCCATTATAACAGCACGAAAAGGGTGGTTAATCTACCGTTGAAGAAGTAAATGGCTGTTGTAATTCACTAGCATTAGTCAACCAGGAGCCTCTTGTGCTCAGTATCGAATGAATGTGCTAAGAATCAGGAATATGTGCACTTTGAAAACAACTATTTCAGTGATTTGTATCTTAAGAAAAACAGTGACAGTCAAGATGTGTTATTCGTAAAAAAAAGTGTATTCAAATCCCTACTGTGAAATACAAACAACCTAGAGCCCGAAAGGCGAAATAAAAAGCATCTCAAGCAAGTTTATTAAAACACAGAAAGTCGATAAATATAACAGTTTGTTTGACAAAACAGTTACCAAGTTTTTTTTTGTTTTTGTTTTTTTTTTATTTTTTTGTTTTAATTTAATCTTATTTTATTTGGTACTTCTGAAGTTTTTCCAACGGGATTTTTTTCCTTTTTAAGTTTTGCTGAACGGTGGTTTTAACAACAGCTGAAAATAAAATCGAGAGGAGGCAAACCACGTACGGATTCATTGCGAGTTTCTGTCTGTTCTCGAGATCATAACAGTGGTGTTCTATACCAAACCTATTCATAAGTACAATTGTTATTTTTAAGAGAACAAAAGAAAGTTGTATTTATTTATAATATCAATTCACCAAGGTGTTGTTTTACAACCAAACTTAACTCATTTCTCATAGGACTCCTGCTTAGATCTAATTCACTCGTTGACATCCAAAACAGGTCTGCATTTGCAGAAAATCCTTGAAAACAGCTCGGCTCTCAACGTTATAAACAGGGCTATATATACATAGCCCTTTGGTTCAATTTCAGAACCGTCAATCAAAATCATAACAAAATTTCCAAATTTTCATCTTCGTTTGATAAAAGAAAAATATTCAAACCCTGCAAGAACATATGTTGTTGTATTTTCGACGATGAGATGTTGGTTTTACTGGAGGCTCATTAKTCATTTGGGTCGCAATAGAACTAACTGGTCAAATATTTATAACAGGTGGACCTTGCAATAATGAAACGACTCGCTGTGACTGACATAACACTATAACTTTTCACGCTTAAAAAAACACCAATAAAATATATTAGATTTGTCCCCAAAACTGACAGAGCATACCTAAGAATGGACATCTTAAGAGGGGAGAAAAAGCACAGTCTGTTAGACGAGGAATCACAGCCAAAGAGTTTGAGCAGAGTCGGCTCGAATTTTTTACTTGATGTAACGTTATTTTTTTTAGAATTCCGCTAAAGAAAAAAAGGTGTCAAATAACAAAGAAATCTAATTCTATCGTTCAGTACTTACTTTACAATGAATAAAACACGTATATGTGATGTTTGAAAACAGCTTTCCGTCGTTTTGACGATACAGTGATCGATATTCTCTCGTCTTGTCTTTTTTAATAGAGAATTTAATTTTAATCTTATGAGATGGTTTGTTTGAGTTGGAACATCCATATCCTTGAATCAGCTGTACTCTCCAAACAAACTGGAAATGAACCCCCCTCTTCTCTATCAATACACGACGGTCATTTTACGATGGCTTCGGCAAAAAAACTCCTTCTGTTCAGAGTCCGTTTTCCGGGTTATTGCAAGATGCCTTTTGTACACTTTTTCGGGGAATTTTTATTTCAAAATGGTTAAAAAGTTTACAGTTTGATGAATAAAAAATAAATTGAATATTCAAATTCGCTGATATTTTTTATTTGAAAGTGTKCATTTGTGAGTTGAAACTTTATATCCCAAATAGCGCCATCTGTGCGTGTTATTCTCCACAAAATTGAACGCAGGCTTCCTTGTTTCACTCAAACGTGTGCTGGCCAATCGCGTTGCTGCAAGAACTCCTTAGACAGCGGATGGCTTTCATGTTGTGAAAAGAGAACCACCGCATGACTAGCTAGAGGAAGGAACTTTTATTCATCATTTGTTTCCCCCTATTTTTTTTTCTTTAATATACAATACAAATAGACGAAAGTTTATCAAGATGAAACCAAAAGGGTGATTGCATTCAACTCCAATCATTCATGAACGTTCGATCAATTTGTAATAGAAGTAATAATAAACTGGCTTATCTTTCAAGCAAAAGAACCATCTATTGAGGGGAAAATACAAACCACAAAGCCTTGATTGCAATTAACTTTAGTAAGCTGGACCAAAATGAAGCCACATTGACCCATTTCTACTGATTCCAGAGTTTCTAGGCCCACAAAAGCATACTAATTTAATCAAAGAGATCAAAAATACAATCTCTAAAACAAAAACAACGAAAATAGAAAAGAAAAAGGAAGCTGTATAGTATTGTTCTAAAATGAGATACACCATCCTATTAATATCTTCATTAATCTTCTAATCTTGATGTCAAATGAATGTTTTTACTCGCATACAGTCCCGACACCACATTGATAACCAAAGAATCCCTAGTCACTTTGAATTTATTGTAAGACTTGGTCAACTAGCCAAGGATTGGCTGTGAGTCATACAGTCCGAAACCACATACAGTTTCTCTTTGGCCGCAAATTCGAGCCCATTTTTCGTTTTCTTCTGCCGCAAATAAATCCCGTATATATATTATACCCCGTCGCATTTGATCACCATCAGTACATGCACCGCCTTTTGCCAAATACCAACTAAATACAGTGAAATAGTTGGTCCTCCTGACCACAAATCATGATACACAACAGAACCGTGGCCGCGCAATCTGTACGATTCCAGACTCGTATCGTTTCGTAATTGCTCAAGTACAAAGAGGCAATGGGTTTAGGTCGGATTATCTGTCGGCAACTCATGTCTACATTTTTATATAATAAAATAGAGGCATCACATACTTGGGCAGTATTGATCCATCCATCTAGTTTCTGGTGGGCTTTCAATGTCCTGYGTTCAGTGTTTTCTAAAAAATGCGGGCGTAAAACCTTGTCTGCCAGCTTTACGAACGTAAAACATAGCCCTCAGACACCAGTGTTTTGTGGACCGACAGAACATGTTATCTGCAATGTTTTTCAAACATATTTTCACTGCGGTTAGAACGTCAGCCCAAAGAGGAAGGAGGAGCTCTGATATTCCCTACAAGTACCCCTCTCAAGAATTTAGGCGCCAAAACGTATAAAGTATTGATCTGAGATAATTGTGAACCGCACCGACAGTGTCTTGGGCTGCCTGCTTAACATTAGAAATGTTGTTCATGTCAGGTCGGATAGATCGATGATTTCCCGCTTATGACCTAGGCCTCTAATTCTTTTGAAGCCACCCAAGGTGTTCGGGAGCGCATTAGTAAGGTTTTACTTGTATATTCACCAGATGCACCTAAACAATACAGCTTTTAAACAACACAATTATAACTCGTAACCTCGATGGCTAGCACAAAAACTTGTAATAGCACTGCGGTTTTATTTATTTTAAAGGTGTTTGGTTTCATGATTGTGGTCAGTTTTTCTGCACGAAAGGCATTTTGGCTGGCTAGTGTTGAATCCGAGCTAGACGGAATTCCATTCATTTTATTTGCCAGTCTTCATATCTAGGGTGCGAAGTCAACAAAGATTTGAAGATTATCTTCAGCAATCAGCTTTAATTTGACCTAAACTTTCAGTCTCATGTAGGGCATTAATGCACAGACAGCCCTGTATATCACCCACGTCTGCACTTGTTGTTACAACAAACCCTACACGATTTCCATTCCAAATAATAACCAAGATCTTTATCACCCCCCAATGAAATCGTCGATGAAAGCTGTATCGTCCACAGTAGCGTTTTTTATATTTAGCCGTTAGTGGCATGTCTGATCGCAGCTCATAATCAAGGCTTGCGCTCAGTTGCTCGCCTCCTAACACCATAAGCCTTACGCCAACACAAGGGTGTCGTGAATTGCTCAGTGGGGTTGGCTAGGATTAACACGCATCTACTTTCTGTTCATAAAGATCGAGATAAAGGCTATTAATACAGGAATCTGATACAGATATGAGTTATAATGTTCTTGTTTCTAGCATGATATATCAAATCTACGTCTTAATATTTACATCGATCAAAGCCGCGAAGCGGAGGCTTATAGTGTTCACGCTGTGTTAATCCAGCGCCTGAGTGACCAGAAAATCCAAAATGGGAGGAAACGAACACACAGAAACATTAACAACCATTATGGATAAACCATAGCGTGAAATATTTCTGAATTGGCTCTAACGAGATAGACCACAGTTTCTTCCAAACATCACAAAAAAAATGTTACTTTTAATGCCCCAGGGGCAACCTTTGGCGACGAAAGAAGATACGAACAGCGCATTTACATATCAAAGTATATTCTCTTGACAAAGTTCACTCTACTCACTTCAACAGTAAACGGGGAGGACGTATGTATTTGCTAACTCAAATGGCAAGAAATTTCGAGAGAAATTAAATGTTTATTCCCTAAAACCTTTTTTTTTCTAACGCCACGACAGTTCGACCATTTGTGCGTACTTCGCTTTTTCACTTTCACGAAAAATCTCGATGAAGCTTTAATTAATTCAATGAAAAATCCCTCTTCTCTATCCACCCAAAATTCGAGTAAAAAAGATAATAATGTCTGTTTATACCAATTTAACAGTTTAAACGCTCGCGGACGGAACATGATTTAATCCCAAAGGTTTTTGGCGCTGTCAAAAATACAAAAAAGAGAAAGCACAATCGCAACTTGATCTTCAAGTACATATGCGTATGCCTTAAATAGAAGGATGCTTGGAACAGGTACACTTGTGCCAGGATTCCTCGCATTTCCGATAGATACTCATTACTTTGGTAATCTTGGTGATATTTTATTTGGCATCAGCAGGCTCAGTCAMAACGTCTCTACATTGACTAAGACAAATAAAGACCCCATGAGATTATTTCCAACTTGTGAGCTATTATTGGTGGGTGTATTTATTCGATCGCCTGGGCCGTAATGAAACTTTAGTGTATTAAATATGATCTCATTTATATCAAAGCCATTTACGYGAACGAAATTATAAGTGATAGGAGACTTTTGGGAGAGAATCCAACCATGCTTTTATTAACTGAACTATTGCTAGTGTTATCGATGAGCTATAATTAAGATTTTAAAGTCGGTCGACGATATGGATCATGCAACTTGAAGAGAGAATTAACAGATTCTGATTCGATTGTTTAGCTTTGGATTATGAGTCTTGGAATAAGGCTTACGGGATGAGTGGTTGAAGAATTATCTCTAGTCAAATTATGCCTGTCGTTTTTTGATCGTTATTTTGGGGCTCTTCTTTTCTGTGGTATTTTGTAATGTTTTTAATATTTTTTTCCTAACTTCGAGCACAGGTGGTTGTTGGAGGAATGTCTCCTCAATGGACGAATGAGAAAGTGCGACCAAAGTAATTTTAGATCAATCACATTTCCAAAAGCAAAAATAAAAAAACGTTTTATCTGGGACATTTAATGAAATTCCAAGGGAAATATTTAGAGGAGCAAATAGAGAGGTACAGGAAATGCTGACAAAATGGATTTAGGATAAAAATTCTTATAAATCTAAAACAAGCCATTTCCTTGTAATTGATAGAAACTCTAATGACCAACGAAATCCCAACTTTGTCATTTGTAGGAGGCCATCTTAAGGGTGAACAGTTTTAAGAGCAAAAGTAACCCGAAACTTCTTAACTGCGTGTGATTAGCAGGAAAAAAGCTACACAAAGAGTATTAAAGGSAAAAAGAGCCCACTAGCAAAGGCTAAGGGCTATCTTATAGATTGTCAAGAGTTGTGACGCATTTCCAAGACTATAGTCAATAAGATATAGAGCGCTTTTTTTCTCTCGGAGCAGCGCTTCTTTTAGTGTCATTAGGCAAARGGCTTTTAACAGGTACTATAGCGCTTCGATCTGATGATACGATTCAACTCTTCAAATTATCCTGTTTTCAAATTGGAAAATAAATCAATCAATTAAAAAGTTCAAAATCGCAACAAGTGATACTAAGGCTGGATGGAAAAAGGAAAAAAAAACTCGCTATCACGCAAAACTTGAACGTCGACTTGTCTCATCATTAGTGCCTTTTGCAGGCTCCTAGATAGTCTATCACTCCATTTTTTTCATTTTCTTTTTTCCCTTTCATTCTTCTATTAAAGTATTCTAATGGAAACCAATTTGTTCGAATTGACAAAATTAGATCTGAATTGTCGGCTGTGATATAAGTGAGAGGTGGCGGCATGGACAATGGGTAAGCCRGGGCCCCTGTATATATAGCTTATCCTTTTTGTTGTAGTATATTGACATCCAACGGACCCCCAATACTTTCCAAATCAGCGTCTCGACCCCATAATTATARGTTCAACTTACCATTCTCTCTGTTATCAATGTCGCGAAATAGCGAAATAGCGAGTGAAATGAGAAGGTCAGGACTGGTCCCCTAAGAACGGGCACACATGGACTGGGAATGCAWGCGCTTGGAGTACACCTCCTTCAGCCGTTTGTTTCTTGGGGAATATTTGGAGTGTACATTTGGCGGTGCTTCTTAAGTGAAYATAAGCAAACATCGCTGCCCTACTCACTACGAAACATAATACCTCTCTATTTTGTGTTTTGTTTTAGTTTTCTAAAGGCAAAGTTGCTGTTCGATTCCATTGTAGGGTGCATGATAATTAATAAGTTGGCGGCCTTTTTTATGAATCAGATGGGTTGTCAAAAGTTAAGAAAAAGAGACACGCCGGACCTACACGATCGTTACGCCCGATAGACCCTTCTTCCTTAAGATTAACTGGTTTTACAAATTACAGCCGCGGGATGGTGTGCAAATTGGCATAAATTACAGACGAGGTTGTCAATCTCAAATGAAAAAATGGACCCCAGATCAAAGAGCTTGAAGTCCTTGTGGACCAACCTCAAGAGAAATATTTGTATAAATATTATGATAATAATTATTTGCGCTTTTCAGTTGGATGGCAAACTTTTACTTTAAATGGTTCAACGAGTGAACCCTTGACAATAAATATACCGGACTTCATACATTGGTTATTACTTGTATTGACGAGAAGGCGTTGGCATGTTTTTCTATTTGAAATGTAGTTCCTGTCTGTTGAGTGCTAGGAACACACAGAGAATAAACCATCCGATATCCCCATTTCGTCGGCTACTCGAACCTTTTCTCATGYGTTATCTGTAATAGCGATAAATGTAATTCATCCAGACCAGCTGTTTTCGACTCGCTCAAGTACTTCTCCAAGTTCATTGCTTCAAAGTGTCATGCAAGAATCACGTTCCGTTTGAGCCGAGAAATCCCAGCTCGTCTTCTTAGCAATATTTGGTCGGCTTTTCTATATTTTCACGGTTTAGAGTTATCTTATTAAGTGATGTAGGATCAACACGCCATAAATGACTCTACAAATGACAAAAGCAAATATCACCACTTCTTGGTGCTCCTAGAATTTCAGYGCGAATAAAAGTTTTGGTTTTACCAAAAGAAAAGTTCCAATAGACCTTCCAGTAATCTACCCAGAAAACAGCTACTTATTTTACTTAGTACGAAGTGAAAATTCATGCCAAACATTTCTTTAGCCGTCTAGATATTAATTGCGTCTGCTTCATTTACATTTGTTCTGAGTGCTTTGAGTTTCCCATCTTCAAATTTCGAGACATCTTTGGAAATAGCTGAAGGGGTTATTGACAATTTCGTGCAGATTTTTTTGTATAACCCTTTTCTTTTCCGGGAGCTTAGCTCTTCAATCAACCAATTCTATTCCTGAAAACTTTTAGAGGCAAGAATAAGTAAATGACTTTTTTTGAAAATGAGAAAATTACTGCTCTTCTTTTGAGGAGGATTAAAACATTTTCGAGAAAGAGGATTTGAGTCAACAACCCACCCAAAAATGTTCCTAAGTTGTTCTATTCCCTCTGAGCTTATTATAAAGAGATTCATCTTTCCTGGAGTCCAAAATTCCCCTAAGTATTGAATAAGATAAGAAGGGAAGAGGGTGATATGATATAGGGTATTTTCTAGAGTTATTTTCACGATGCCAACTCCACAGCTAAGATTAATGAAGTGCTATATCAACATTAACTACCCGCAGTCAATCCTTTAAAACCTATAACCTGGATCTAATTCTCTTTGGCTCCAGTACTCCTATAGCTACAAGGAATAGAGACAAGAAGAAACTGAAAACAATATGGACATTTTGTCTAACATTCTTCAACTGGTGAAATCGAAAGGACTACATTGGGTTGTTGTTGGACTGTGTTTCATAATTGTGTTGCTTAACTGTAATACCTCAGTTTCCAAAAGTGGAGTAACATCAGACTAAATATATAAATATATGTAAAATCTTTAATAGAAGAGGTGAAATCAGTCYTTCCTTCTTGTATTAACATTCTTTATTCACTGCTATATTATAGTATTAAAACATCATTATTTAAAGTATAAGTTATATGCATGTATGAACACAACAATTCAATATCAATGTTTTCAACAATTTGACTTTAAGAAAGGGCAGAGTGAACTCGAAATATAGCCCGCAAAAGGTGCGTGATATTCAGTGGTTGATTGTCTTTATCAGTAATTCTGGATTTTACTTCTAGATGAAGTCAGTTAAGACGTTAGAGCTTAAAATGCCAGYAAATCTTATAAAATAAAGACGATTAACACTCTAGGGAAAAAAATACCGGGTCTGTACTAGCCTGCCTTGCCACAAGTTATATGTATGTTATAATTAATGAGGTTCAATACGTGGAGACAAACATGAGCGAAAGAAAAACGAAGGTTCACATTCCATATAATCTAACCACAAGCAAGTTTGAACTCTACAACAAAGAAATACAAAGGCCTAATTTAACTCTTGTATAACTATACCAGCCATCGTGTACATAAAAGCTTCCTTTACTGAAAGGAGATTTCATTGAGTCATTGTTGTGCGATTGGTTTGACAAAGAGTGGCAACAAAGTCGCCTTTTGTTTGAGTGACTCGTTTTGTTGTTAGTTTCTTAATCTTAAATCCAAACGAAAGACGAATCAATTTACCAAGAATCAATTCTTGTGAACTATATGTCCCTCCTACTCTTCTAACGAGCAAACACTCCAACTATCAATTAGGCCACAGAATTTCCAATCCGTTTTCACCGATCAAAGGCCTTCGGATAATTTTCTTTTGAGGGCTGGCTAGTTCGGTAGAAATGAAACTGCATTCTKTTTCAAGCCTTTTTTTTACGGCTTCGTTGATGCTTCACGTAACCAAACATAAAAATAACCTCCAAGAAATTCCGAGAAGAAGTCAGTACAAAAAGCAATGTGTTGTTTGCTAATAAACTGGCCTTTTGTTCCAACCATCTTATTCCTTGTGGTTATATCACTTATGTCAAAAAGATCACTTTGGCATTCACATGGTGAATTTTTGAGTTTATGAGTTTACTCTTCAATAGTTTGGCTTAGATATATATTTCTCTTTGGATGGGTTTAGCTGTCAAGAAATTCATATTTGTGAATGATCCTATGTACAAATAGCCATTGAGAGTAGGCAGGACTAGAGACGAGGGTCGCATTTGGTATCAGAATCAAATCTAGTGCTAGAATTCAATCAACACTGCAAGAGATCGCYTCTCATTCTTAACGAGCTGTTCACAAGCCCCCTCTTACAAGATATCCCTTCGCTTTACATTCAAAATTCCGTACCTGCCTCTCCCGAAYGACTCAATTTTGGAAAAATACACAATTGAAGAGTAGATATGAATACTACAATCTCCGAGAAATTAAAACAAATATACTATACAAACTGGATGTAAGCGTTTCATTGAGTGCGTTAGTTCTTATCACCAGAAGCGGCGAAAGAAAGTTGTAGTGAAGATGAGTGCTGCTCTGATAGTTGCAGCGTCATTTTTTTCTGCTCTAAATGTGATAAAATAATTGCAATAGCTTCCAAAAACAGTAAAAATACTGAGTAGCAGATCGGGCTTTCACACCGACTAGCTACAACAGTTTCTTCTCCTGTACAGCCCCAATTTAAGCTCAATACTCGGTCGATGAGGTACAGGCAATAGAGCAGATTGGATCTCAACAAGTCGAGAGTTCATCACATCAGTTTCCTCACGTAATTAGAGTTTTCTCATCGAGTACCACATTTCCCCCTCACCAAGTCCAATAAGGATGTGCTGCCATATAATTCGTACTAACGGGCGGATAATGAAGAAAATCTGCAGCATGGTGATAGGTATAGTTATTCATGGCTGTTCCATGACATGGCTGACCGTCACGAACAAGAACTGGCACTGGAACTGTGCGGGGGGTGAACAACGGTGGTGGCTCACTCAAAGACCCTTTTTCATAATTTTGCTTTTTAAACTTATATCGATGATTTTGAAACCATATCTTAACTTGAGTAGGTGTAAGGTTTATAATTCGAGCAAGTTGCTCCCTCTCAGGGGCCGAAAGATACCTTTGCTGTCTAAATCTTCTTTCTAGTTCGTAGGTCTGTGCTTTGGTGAAAAGTACTCTTCGTTTCCGTTTCTTCGGAGGGTCGCTTCCTTCGTCTCTCTTTTCATCGTTCGATTCATTTTGTTGATCACTTGAAGCAGGACTTAAGGGATCCTCGTTTGCACTATCCTGATTATCTGTAGAAAAACAAATCCAAGAGTTATCAGTCCCGACTAAGCTCAGTAAATGCACACAGGTATCATTAATGCTTATACTACTTCATCAATTCAATTTTCCTTTGGCATTTCGCAAACTCTATAAGTTCCGCTAAGAACAAAACAATGAGAACTCACTCGCGAACTTCATCTAATTTTCTATTTGCGCTTAAAAGGAGAAGGAAACTCTTCATTGGTAAGCTRAAGTTTTGTGAAGCTTTTCAGAGACCAAAATTTTCGGCGCAACATCAAAACACTTGCAGTGTCTCAACACTGTAAACTAGTCGCCGGAATAGCGTTTTGTGTAAATCTAGCACGAATGCGTAAGAAGCTACCCCTCAAAGACATGTCAATTGACAAACAATCTTAAGTTCACTAGTGCTGGGTTTCAGGGGCCATGATAGCAAGCTCTTCAAGTTTGGTCGCGTTACTTTCATTCGATCAAAGATACAAAATCGAGTCTTTTCTTACTTGTATATGAGGACTTCTGCGTCTGATTAGACGCCACGCCACAAGCCTCCAATCTGTTATCGTCGCCACATTTTTCAAAATTTACCGATAGTTCTGGCGTCGACTCGCTTCTAGATGCGCGTGTAGACTCACTCAGATTAAGGATGTCCTTCACAGAGAACGAAGTCATGGCTCGTTACTTTAGCCTTGTGTACACGGTTTCAAATGGATTCCATTATCAGGCTTACAACGGTCATGCTCAGAGAGCCACGACACCTTTGCTGACGTCAGGGTGTGTCGAGCCACTCAACTCGTGAACAAGATGTTTGACACTAAACAAAGGTTGGATAAATTCTGCTAAGTCAACTGCTATTGATAGGATAAGGTGGTGACGGGATTGACAACACTATTAATTAGAGTGATAACTATTGAATAGTGTGTCATATGTAAGCCTGTAAGATGACAGAAAGCCAAGGGAAGACTCCCAATGACAAGTCTGTGCGTTGGTTGTTCAAACTATTTTAATATTGCACTCGTTCACTTCACGCACAGTACTCTGTACAATGACCGTTCTGTGTTTTCAAATATAAGACTCCAGAATCTCGCTAGTACTTTTCTTATCCCTTTTCTATCGCCGAAGGTGGGATTTGCGCACCTTCGATCGTAATTACGTCTCTTTGATACCTCTTTAAGGTGAACTTAAGATTTAAATCTTTATAAAACCAATGAGCGATCGAGCGACAGCACCTTAGCCTATCTATCGCGTTTGTAGTCTAGATATGATTCAATTTTCCCTCCTTTCACTGAACACTTGTTTTATGTATCACGGGAACGCGCACAGTAGTCGCCCAATACTTTTCAAAAGCTCGCCTATARACAGAAACTGACCAAAAAATGTACGAAAAGGATGATGGCGTGAGGTGTTTCAGTATTTATTTTTCTTTTATAAACCCTCCAAAATCTCTTAAGCTAAGTACAGAAATAACTGAGACGCACTCCTTGGGGCTTTCCATTGAAGCATTTTTAAAACGCTTCCATCTTTTCGCTATTCACCCGTCCGCAGAACGCTTCAAAAAGAGACAACTGTTATCTTACTTTGCTGGCAGTTCAAATATTCGATCAGGTCAAGCTTTTAAAATATCAACTCGCATGGCTGATTAGGTAGCCAGTTTTTGCATTATCAAGGTTAATAGTTTTGAAGCAGTATCGAGGGGTTCTTCGCCAAATATGTCGACATCTATCGACATCTGCGCTCTCAGAGCTCTAGTCTGTTTACCGTGTGTCCTTGTCGAAGGTTTGGCAATCATAAATCCTTGAAGGGCATACGATAACTGACACTGAGTACTTTAAGAATGAGAAAGGCTTCAATGCAAGGGTGTGTTAATAGTACTTCAGATTCTTAATCCTCCCTTTAACAAGTCGTCAACCCGATCGAACGAGTTTGATTCGTTTATGGAACCCTCCARGGCTCAAAGTGGGGACGCTATGGGGGCGCTAATATTTCGCCATTTGGAAATGAATTAATGAGTCTTTATTGATGAAAGAATGGTACCCCTAAAAATTACGGAAGAATGGCCAATTAATATTTCAAAGGATGCTTGGAATATAGGTCGGTAGCGCGCCATCGAGCGCCAAGCCATTACGTAGGATAGCTATTTGACTAACAACCAGCCGATTAGGCCAAAATGTTTGCCCGTGTCATAAGGTGATTGACAGGTTGTCAATTAAACCATTAGCCAAGGATATTCTAATTTTTAGTGGTGAATCCATAGGGTCAACATCTTGTAAGATCTACAATAGCCACTCCGTATCTTGTTTTAGTTTCGGTGTCCAATCAGACAGAGCGCCTCACACTCGAAATCCTACCACAGAAGAAGCTCAACATTTGAATAATAATACTGATAGTAGACATCACCAATTAGGCTCGATCCGGTCTCACTTAAATTGGAATCGCTTAATATGAAATGATCTGTGGAATATATGATTAAAATCTTTATGAGATCGCATTCGACGTTTCATTCTATTATGTYGTTCTTTGAGGCTGCACGAGCCGTTGTAGTGTCATTTTACATTGCGATCTTTTCTTTCATATTTATCATCGGTTGGGTTCGCAGACCGAACTTTACACCTCAGTTTAGTTAGATTGGCAGCATACGTTCACCTTAACAACCACCCTTTATTCATGACAACACTTTTAAAATCTACTCTAGTTGACTTTTGTAGGGATCATGTAACAGCMCCATATTGAGAAAACGAATCCGACTTGTCGTAAGGAGTGTCTTGTGAACAGATCTCAAGTGATGACTAGTAATTTATCAAGTGCCTACAATCATTAAGAGAAGAAACAAGTTTATTACGTTCTAAAATAGGACAAAAATAACAACCCAAAAACCACGTCCAGGGCCTAGAAAAGAAAAGAAAAATATCATGTTGCCCATTCTATCTTTTTCTATTGCAAGACCAGCTTGAGTGGCGGTCCAATAGGAGTSCTAGAAGCCGTAATAAGGTAAAAATAAACTAATGAGAGCGGCGCAAGGTGTTTTTTTTCTCTCGCGTGGAATCGAATTTCGTTTCTATGAGGCTAAAGATCCAAACCACTCCACCCAATGAGGACCAAAACAGCTGTTGATCGTTTCGAGAGTTTCAGTGTTGGCTTAAATTTCTGGTTTCATAAAATAAAATTGGCAAACACATTAAATCTTGATGAGCTGAAGTCTTTTTGTTGATGGAATTTTATCGTCCAAACCGCTCTTGAAAAGAGATGAAATTTTTAAACCCAATGAACCGATGGTTTTTCTCCCCAATAAAACCTGTACATTAAGTTGGAAGGCACAGGCGCTGTTCACAAATCTTTCATGTTTAAGTGTCTCATTCCCGAATCTAAATGAGGCCTTTTGACGTTCCACGGAAGCGCCCTGTTGATGGATTTACAGACTAAATGGGTGAATCGAAGTCGTAAGGTTTCTTGTTTCAAAACTAAATGATCAACTATCATATTAAGTGCTTAATGCCATGAGATGCCGACCTCCTTATTACTTTTAGAGTTTAAAGTTAAACATTCTATCCCAAGTCAATAAACTTAATGCGTAGGTCTTGGAAACATGTCGAGGATGTTGCGTTAAGGATTCGGCCAAAAAGAACGATTAAAAGACATTTTTGAAGGACATTTTGTTCAGTTTTTTCTTTTTTTCCCCCCGATTCTTTTCCGCAAACTGCCCCCTTTCATCGCCTTATCTAGCGGAAGAACTGATAAAAAGAAACAAGTGAATGAATGAGACCCAAGTCAGTATAGTGTTTATTTATGGCAATATCTTGAGACTTCTCATCAACCCATTAGCACACGATCTTTCCATCTTGATTAAAATCCATATACAAGTTTATGTTTGCTAAGAATTAGAAGGTTCACTTCAAAACGCTCTTCTCCCTTGGATGCTTATGCTAATTTTTCAAGTCACAAGAACATTTGWCGACACGAGTTGAAGGGTCTGAACCAACATCCTAATGGTATCGGATTACCTTACAGGCAATTAAAGGACAGAGGGATTGAATATTCGAAAATTAAATAACTCACAATCGAGTCGTAGCAGAACCGYGTTCAATTTTATCAGTGGGAATGTTTAATAGAATTTTTCACATCGATTGGAATTAAAAACGATTACTTTCGGTAAATGAACAGCTAACAGCAAAGACAATTGGCCATTTTACCAGCATTCATCTGTGGCAGGTAACCATTTGAATATCTAATCGTTAGTAATAAACTATAAAGCAAAAACACACAAGGAACGATTCCAAATTCATTTTCTATGCCAAAATTGTTCCAAGTAACAGTGGTGTGTTGTCACACTGACACAGCTCTCTGACAACGCAAAAAGGATCTCATTTTCTCAAGATTCAATTTGCTTTTACTTCGCTTCAAAATATTCCCTTAAGAACTTCCTTGAAGGAAGAAGAAGAATGACACGAAAGGGAAATGGGATGGCCGCATGGCAAGCGAAATGAATTTCAAATATATTTCTTGCATAATTGCCGATGGAATAGAAGTCTAGAAATTTCATAACACAAATCCAATAACGAAAGCCTATCCCCGATCGATTCAAATTCACATTTTTTTGTAGATTTTTTTGGTATGAAAGCCTAGACGCCATACCATGAGTGTACATTTAGAATTCAATTACTCCTATAACACAGATCACATATACAGGTAAGATTGAAGTTTCTGTTTAACACTATGAATACTGTGGATAGCAGCTGAACACACACATATCTGACTTGAATAAAGGCTTCTCTGGTTTCGGTTCTGAAGTAAAAATTGATTTGATTGAGAAATGAGAACACTAGACGACTTCTTTGTGCAATTCGCATCAATGAATTAGTTTAGCTTGAACATTTATAAACACTTCTAAACCGTCAAACACCCTGCCAAAAYTGGCAGCAAGCTCTTCAAGGATTCAACAAGATCAATTCAACRTTTCCCATTTCGGGATATCCAGCTGAAAGAAGCTGTTAGTGTCTTAAGAAATAATTTATTATAACATCCACCCCTTTCGGGCGTTGATAATTAAAGAAAGAAATTTTTTTTATAAAGGTGAATAATGTGAAATTTATACTTTTGTCTTCTTTACAAAAAAACGTTTCAATTCCCAATTTCCCGCCACTTATTTAGCTACTAAACCAACAATATTGTGTAAGAAAAGGATTACCTCGGTAAGCTATTGATCAGACACAATACAATGAATGCATTTTAGTTTAAATTGACCCTATTCATGATCTAATATACRAGGTTATTCTGGTATGTTGGCTTTACCAGTCGTCCTGTCATTCCCCTGTCAGCCCAGTCGAGCTGGTGTTTTATTTTTTATTATTATTGAAACTTACACATTATTGATTTAAGGCAACGCTTTTGGAAACAACCACCCTGTTATTGTATTGTCTTCTCCAGGAAAGATTGAAACTTTTGACAAGTGTAAATATGGCTAAACATATGTACAGAGTGAGATAAGCAAAATTTATAGTGCCAGTGTTCTGAGTGTTGTGCACTAGGACTAAAACGTAAGGGTGCATCCTTGTTAACACTGTTTATCTCTCGACGCTAGCGGCCAAATTTACCTCAAGAATAACTCTCAGCAACTGACATTTTTTCAACATTTATYAAGTTGAGGCTCTTGTTTGATACTTGTTTTGGGGAATATAGAAGACCCGCGCGTCTGAATACTTAGTTAAGTACACCTTATTGTGAACATTAGCAAAGATTGTTATTGGCCATCAAAAATAAAGTCCTTGGCTTTAAATTCTTAAGTAGCTAATAAGAAATACCGGTATATGGGCTGCTTTATACATGGATGTTACTTGTCAAAATATCTAAAGAAAAATGGCCGCAGTATTGAACAGTGATTGGAAGAGAACTTCCCAGGGAAGCAAAAATCAAATCGTGAAGATATTTGGAAACACGTAAGGTGGGCTCCCAACACACGACTTGGTTTTGGTGGGCCGTTGTTCATATTAACATATAGTTTTCTAAAAATATACCCGAGTACACACGCAGTATTTAGACAGTGTATGGCAGGTTTAGCAAAACATGACACTTTTTAGTTTTCTCATTGGATTTGGAGGAAGGTAAACTTGCCACTGACCAATTAACAACTCAAAACCGCTCGCATCCTCGCACGATTAGTGGTATTTAGYGCGCTTGCTAGAAACCAAAGACTGGAATAGTGTGTTGGGATATTCATTTCATAAAGTAATTATCATGTTATAATCATTGAGAATACGATTAATTCGAGAAAATACCCGTTAAGGGCTTTTGATTTCAAATAAGGCGAACCCGTTTATAGAATTCTAGAATAATCAAAAAGGCACGGTGCTGTTAATGGTTAGTCACAGACTAAACTTTAATGACCAAGAATARCAGCCATCGTACATATATATTATGTTTCACGGCGATAGTAATTTGGATAAGAAAATGGCCCTTTGCCAAATGTCAGTTAAGGATTGAGAAATATTCGTGTGTTTCGCCTCGAAACTATTTATTTCTCCAAACAATTTCGTGGGTCAACTTTGTTAGGAAGCCTGACACAAGCAAACGGAAGCACAAAAACCCATAGGTTTTCACTCATCMAACTCTGCTCTCAACGAATCGACTCGAACAAATAGTAGCAAGAGAATGCGATCATTAAACGTTTGGATAGTTAGAGAGTGACATTGAATTCMATATGGATTTGCACAAGGGCGCTAGAACTATTAACGTGTTATTCTTAAGGAATCCAAATGGTTAAATGAATTGGAGTGTAGATATCTTTGAGCAAGGTCGAAATCACAATGAAAAGAGTCTCATAGAAAGATGCAGCAATGATAGAGAAGAGGTTTGTAGTGCTCTGGGATGTTATTTGTCGAGCGGAGGCGTGATGGAAGCCTAATATTATGGGCGTGTCTGGATTGGCTGTGTTTGGAAAATGTGACAAAGTAATAATAAGAACAAAGGGACAACAACAACAGCACACTTCCTAATCTGTCAATCCAATTAAAACCAATATCAACAAACCTTTAAAGACACAAACGAAGCATGTGTGATGGAAACTTTTAGCAAGTCTTGAATGGAGGAATTGTGTCAGATTAAGCTAGTTGATATGACGTTTGTTGAGATGCTCTTTGACTGTCATTTCGAGATCTGTCACCACTATCCTCCTATTATCGCTTAACAAAACACGTTGGTGACATTAGACAAAATTTGTTTTTGTATTTCTTAGATTGTCTTCTTTTCAAGTGTTAGCCCCACCTACCTCACACAGCCAGCCTGCTCGCCCCGTGGTCTTCAACACTCAACTCGTTATCTTGAGCCGACAGACAATGGTAGCTATTTGAGACCAAGTATACAGAGTGAAGCACAGGAGAACTATGAGTTCCTTTTCCATAAGAGACATTCTCGACTTGCCTGAAGACACAATTCGCTCCCTACAGGCGATTAAACCACACATGGGAATGTCATCCTGTACGATTACAGACCAATGTAACATGGAGGCCAGTCCAAATTCGGACGTAGACGCCAACGAACATGCAGTCGACGAAGCTCCAATTTCTGATGGTACGTCTYGTGGATGTTGTAACTCAAGTTCGTGACATCTCTATAATAGCCATATAGTGTTTGAATTCCCCGAGGGCTTGTCCTATAGATTACTACTGGGTTTTGGAAATGCCAAAGTGAAGAGGGCTTAAGATTGAGGACCTGAATACTTTTTATTACACACTTTAAGTTCAAAAGCCTTTTGGGGCATACCTTAGGGCATACCAGTTGACACATTGGAGTTATTAGAATAGGGTATCCTTTTCAATAGAGGCCTCTATTGGCTTTCCTAACCGCACTTGTTTGTCGGCTTTKGCGTACAATTTCAAGAAAAAGTTATAAGCCGGATACCTTTTCGAATYAAAAATTACGACTTTTATGAACGTGCCAATGCTTAAACCAACAACTCTCTTTTCCTCTTTTTGTAACTTGAAAGAAATGTCAACTTTTCGCTGTAGGCATTTAACGCAGGCAAACTTGTTACAATAATGTACTAAGAGACCGAAATGTAGAACCCAATACTTTATTTAGAAAGAAAGAAATACATGTCACAATGTTTAAGTTGTTTAGAAACAAATCTTACAGTTTTATTTGGTTAAGATTTTATCCTGCTGTGTATGGCAGAACATGATTTCTTAGTGCTGTTGTGTTTGTGTTTAGATGTCCCTGCGGAGCAAGGAGAAACCCGTCTCTCCATTTACGAAAAACCAGAAGAAACGAAGCGAGAAACCGAAATCCCAAAGAAAAGAAAACGAAGGATTCTTTTTACAAAAGCGCAAACCTTCATACTGGAAAGACGATTTCAACAACAGCGATATCTTTCTGCTCCGGAGCGCGAAGAACTCGCAAGAATAGCAAATTTAACGCCAGCTCAAGTCAAGATTTGGTTCCAAAATCATCGGTACAAGTTTCGTAAGCAGATGAGTGAAAAGGGACATTGGGATAAACCATACATCTCTGGTCCTTTCCTTACAGGATCCGGACAATATTGTAGTTGTGTTGGCCCAACTTGTAGTTATCTAACCAGTTCACCATACCAACCATCGCCCGATTATCTACATTATCCTTCTCCAGTGAATTCCACTTACTTACAATCTTCATCGTACTGGTAAAAACTGAAAACTCCCTCATTCTTTCTTGCTAAGGCGAGATCTACCTAGGTCATATTGTTCTTAAGACAAAAGTCTACCACAAAACCGTATATCTAACATCAAATTTACTATAACTTTTACATTTCTAAAAATTCAATTCACCCAGATGAATTACAACCCATTTGCTTGAGAAATCTCATGTTCAAATACGTATTTTTGGACACTAAGTTATTCACGTTTTTTTTGAAAGACATATCTCCTAGGGCGGATTGCTTTGGGGATAAATACCGAAATATAAATTATAAATACGATTGCGACAAATAGAAACCGCGGCTACTGCGATGTTGTTTTGATTCATAGYGTGACGTTTATAACGTGTAAAAGGGAATTTAAAGATATAACGATATGTTGTTCTATGGAAAGTAAGTTATAAAGAAAGAGAAAAGGTTAGATGTCTACATGTTCAATAAAATAGTTTTAGTAACCTAGATGGCCATCTTACTTATCGCCCAAAAATCTAGTTTTATAATATATAAACTATAAATTTATAATCTTTTCTTTAAGTAGCTCAGTTRCTTTTTGAAAATCCCCAGCAAAATTTAGTGCACAACTGAAATTTCCTAACTAGTTAAAGGATATGTCGTTGGTATAAATCGTGTAAGGTCTGATGCACACTAATGTAAGAAAACTGAGAAATAGKACGCCGTTATTGTTGTAAATCCAATTGTGTTTATTCCATAAACTTTGTACAACTTTCTGTAAATTTACGAATAAAAATAACTGTATAAAGACAAAAAGCGTGTCWATGAATTGTTAAAGACTTTGAGGCTGATGCATGTATCGAACCATTGCAACAGATTTCACTGAACCACAMAAGTTTTCATTCCCATGTTTGCAATATCACCAAGATCAACGATTTCAAAGATGGTTCCATTACGAAATAAAGAATAAGAGAAGTACGCAAAAACCCCTAATTGAACGCTGGGTGCTTTCTTGAGCCCATGCAGAAATGCCATAAGCCGTTTCGATCTCTCCAAATTTTTTTCAGGAAACAAAATGCTTGCACAACCGCCTTCCCAGTGGCATCACCATGTTTTAACTTCAGATCTCTTCTTCATTGAGCAAGACACTTTCTAAACCGTTCCATCCAGAGAAACAATCTAGACATTTTACAGTTTTATTAACAAGGGAAATAATAAGATCAGAGACAGCCAGTGACAGCCCTCTAAAGTCGGTCTTGGCTACAAGACTTTGTCAAAAGGATTTCGTTCTGGATTTTGTCCTAGCAATAGTATCAATACCCCATTCGCCTTCCATAAAACACAAATTTTCTCCTTCTCAAAATTCATGAAATAAAAGCCAAAAAGCAAAGAAAACAGAGATTTGGGAGCCCTTTCAGCACGTCCCTCGTTCAGTATTCGATATATTAATGTAGCTCGGTTTTCTATAATGACTTAATGAAGTCCCTAGCTGGGATTTCAACCACATCTAAATAATTGACTCTCTGAAAAAATCTGTTGTAAAACAGCTCACCATTCAGGAGTAAATAGGGTACTAAGATTTCGAGGGTTTGGTAGTTGGCGAGTATTTGAGTTTGAAGTAGCCAAAAGCAGACGATATATATCTTTGAGTGTAGTTAAATGAGGGCACGTAAAAGATATTGAAAATATGTTATTGAATTCGTATCGAAAAATGCACCAAAATTTCACAACTATTGGATTTAACTTGCTCTGGATCGACTCTTAATTWTTTAGCTGAACAATTTGGAAAAGAATACTGTGAATTTTACGGGTTCGTGTAAATGGGTGTCCCAAGAACGTTCTTCAAAATAAAAAACCAACTCAAGGATAAATTTAATGGTTTTAAAAACAAGCAAAACTAAAAAGATACTGTATAAAAACGAATCGGCGAATTTTTCTTTGGATGTTTTTCACACCAACTAAAGTTTACTTTCTTAAATTTTAAATTCTAAACCCATTATAGATATCTTGTTTTTTTTACAGGGCGGGAACTTCAGATAATAAATCTTTAGTTCTTCAATCTCACGCTTAGCTTTTATTTGAGTTGTTTAGAAAAGAGAACAACGTTCTTATTATAAAGAAAAAACTTGTTACTCTCGTATTAAGAAAAATCAGAAGCATAGACTATACTTCGTGCTAAAAGGAGAACGAAAGTGTTCTTCAAGTTGCGATATTTAAGTTCGTGGATTTTTTCGTTTAAAATTTTTTGTGTGGAAGTTTTTATTGGATGTCAAACAGGAATAATGGTGACGATCATTATTCCAATCTTACGTCAACTTATGAATGACATGTGAAAATCATCCGCTAAATAGAACATAGGAAATGTCACTTTTAACAACCTTACTTTTGTTTCTAATAAGGCCATCTTCCCCCAAAATAAGCCCAYACTGATATGGTCCATTTTTGATTTCAATAACTTTGCTCTTCACATAAAAGCCTAAAGTGGTTAAATTCGCTTTTGGCGGGAACAAAACAGCGCGCGCGTGCAAGATTTTTATTGAAGGGTTATCTTATCTCAACGAATAGCAGCCAAGCCAAAGGGATTGTGTGTATTTATTATCCCAGCTTTGTGTAACCAACAATAGTTTAATAACACTAAGTTTAATTAAAAATCGCCGTTTACTGTGCAAAGATATTTGACGATCAAACTAAGCCATTGACGGCTGCTATTGTTTCTTTTATTTTTGTAGTTTCAGGTGTGATAGTCAATTTCATTGGGAGAAAAATTCTTGTCGTACGCGTATTCTACTTGCTAGTCTCGCCAAACATCGGATTGAGCAATTGTTGGACTAGCYAGAGTTAGCAAAAAAAATTTCTGCCACAATCTGTGATAACGAACTAGGAAGGTTTTAGCGCGTAGTCCCGTCTTAAGTTTATCTTGGCCGTATAATTCAAAATGACATTTCCGAGCGTTATCGCCACATTTCCTCTGAAACTTAGTTTACGGTTTCTATTATTAATTCAATCTTATGTCTATGTGCTAAATCTCTGATTGAAGGCGATAAATAAACGATTCTTTCTTTCAGMTACGTATGGTTTGGGTCAAGGCGTACGCTCAAACACTTGTAATTCTCGGACCGCCAAACTTCTTTTCAAATCTTGTACAATAAGTATAAAAGGAACTAACAGAGTAATACAAATTTAATAGATCCGTTGAAGGATTCGGCGCTGGTCCTTTCTTTGGGACCTAAAAAGCCATTTCACCTGAAACTACTTGAAAAWTTCAATTCAATTGCAAACGAACGTCTGGGGAGTTTTGTTTATTCCCAAGTAATATTTGAACGTCCTTATTACAAGAAGTTGATTTTCATTTGACTCAAAATGTCCTTGCAATAGGAAATGAAAGGCCCTAGTTGAACTCTGGATGGTTTTTGAGTTGACATAAGCGTAGCGTTAATGACAATCACGAAGTATTTGAGAACGACAGTTATCAGAATGGCTATTGCATAGAAAAAGACTGAAATGCTCCAAACTTTAACGACCTTCCTAGARTATTCTTTAGTATTTCATTAGGATTTCCATTATAGAGCTCTGACTGATGCTTGGGCTTTCTTGTCTTGATTGTTTGAGGGCTAACTGACTAGCAATGTTTGATCTCTAGGAATACTAAAAAAACATAGAAAAACAAACTAAAACAAATGTGTACACGGGGTGATTTTGCCAGGTAATAGCGAAATGATAAAACTGAATAAACGTATAAATATTACAGACATTAGTTTTCTTTACCTCTTTAGGAACAAGGTCAATGGAAATTCAAAAAAAATATTGCTTCGTGTCCTGTTATTCTTAAAAATCGCTCTCTCGGRCTCACGTAACTAGGGAACTGATCAGACTTTGAATATAAAGAGAATATTTACGTCCATAATAAAGCTGTTGGGGACAAAATTAAAAAAGAAGAATGTTGTCTCAAGCAATTAAGAAAGCGACAGAAAAGACAGCCCATCGTCTTTCGTAACCAAACAACCACAATTTTCTGGCGAAAACTCCAAGCTCACTCGAGTCATATTGAATGGTAGTTTTCTCGCTTCTCTCACGGTTTTTCGAGAAAAAGAGTCCATTAAAATTTACGTCAAATATGAATAGAAATCACGTTTTCTATGTTTTTAAGTTTTCAGAGACACATTGGCTTTATCTGTGGAAGTTATCAACGCAAAAAATTTGTTTTCGTTTAAAGAGGCCATGGAAAACCCCCAAGCGAGGTAAAGTCTCTCGTCAACAACGAACCCTTCAAATGAGCACCGCTCCTCAAGCGAAGGGAAATTTTGATTTGCGGCTGCTTTTTGATCTAAACTATCGAACACTCAATCTCTAAACAATTTCAATTGCTGTTTCTTCGCTAAACAACATTTTGTCAATAAAATCATGTTTTGCTCGATTGCCGGTAAAAAAAAAGCGCTGTCCTTGACTCAGTATAAGTTTTTATAGATTTCGTCGTTTACGCTGAAACTAGGCTTTATCTAGAAAGTTGTAAAGTCAGTGGCTTGCACCTTGAAGGGCTGATTTGATGAGTTATAGAGTGACCAAAGACATTGACAGTGATGTGGGAAWAGGTTCTTTTCTGTGCGTAGAAACTCACTATAGCGAAGGCTGAGAARCATTCCTAGGTTACCAAAACCAAAACTTTTTTTACCCCAAACTATTGTGCACGTAGCATTTGGTATGGGGTTCATTTTAGAATGCATTGTTCCATTAATAAGTTCTGCTTTCAATCAATAGTGATTTTCGTTTGTAAGACTAGCCTTTCTAGTAGTCCAGTTTTAACGGATAACGATATAACAGATTTCTTGAATGAAGGGGAAAAAACGTGAGATTTGAGTACATTGCCGTGGGATTGAGAAAAAAAAGATTTTTCTGTGGCCAAGCCGTGGGAAGAAAAAAAAGGTTTTGTCTTAGGCCAAGCCATGGGCGAACCGACTGGCAGTCAAAACCGACGATAATTAGCCCACAAGCCATGTTACCAGACTGAAGGAAATTGGCTGGAAATAGGGCACCCAGCAGGGAGCATGTGTACAAGAAAAAGGGGTTAAAATGCTCTAATTTCGAATTACTGTACAACAATTACCTTCTTTGCGTAATATTTTAAAAACACACAAAAACAAACCTGCACAAATAAAGGAAATGAAGAAAGCGAGAGCAGACCCCGCGTATAGCTTGAAATACAAAACAAAAACAAGAACCGGGATGCCTCGGCAGGAGAATCTGTTCAAGGGAAAATAAAATAATGCGAAATCTTAAGATCACACGAAAGAGTTCAGAAAAATGAGAAAATAAATGAATGTAAATAAATGAATGACTGCACTTTAATTGCTTTTGCCCAGTGGATAACTGCCCTGATATAAAAGACCGTGCAGATATGAAAGACGCTTTCACTTTCCCTGATGCGAAGTTCTCCCCCAGCCATGATTGTGCCTCTAGGAATCATGCCTGCASTTTGCCTAGAATTCATGACTATATGAAAGACATTACTAGCCATACGTTTATTTGTTTCCTTTCATTGTAAAAAAGAGCCCATTTTTCATCAAAGTATCAGTTCACTTCGATGCAAAAGGTATTAAAGAAGGGCATATTTCAACGGAAGCCCCCCCCGAACATAATGTTCACGTAATGTTAGTTCAGAGTGCTGGACCTGTTTCTAGCAGTTCGCGCATTAATGTTCAAGTCAGATCAAATCGTAAGCTGACTACCTGTCACTGAGACCTGTTTGTAAAACCAGTGGGAGGGAGGTTTAAGCATTACGCTTCACCACGGATTTCCGTCTCTTCATCCGACAAAGAATGTTACTATAGCTGTTGGTTTAAGAATATACTGCTTTATATCTAATTTTGCAACAATGAATATTAATCTTACATGTTTCATTAACCACTACTAATGCTTATGATGGATCCATAAAATTTTAGATGAAGCATGTACGAAATGGTGACGTTGGATACATTTGSTCAGCGGATTGCTCGTGAATACTAACTCACATACCACTTGTTGTTCCAAAGCACTGATAACAACTTAAGAGTACGTTACAGTTAAACTTAGAAATGCAATTGATTTTTTTCTTAGCGATTTGGTGAAAACCGCTTTGTTAAATATATGATCATGAGAGAGCACTTGCAACTCTCACCACGGCCGAAACGAAGCCCAGTATCGGCCCTAACCCTATGCTAGTGCATGACATTTTTTTGAGCATATTATTTTCATTTAGGAATACAAATATAATTGAAAATCGCAAAAAGTTTGAAATGAGAATAAAGTTAACTCAGTTGGCCTTAAAATATGAATATGACTGAAATGAGCCGTATGTGTGTATGGGCACCATTGTCGGCCTTACTTCTCCAAAGTAGCAGGAAGGCTTTCGGTGCTGTTCTAAAACCGGCCCAAAAATGCCTCAGTTATTATCATCCGCTCATCGATAGCCAGTGGTTTCCTATACAAATTCTTAAATACCAAATACTTAACCACAGCAATGACAGTGGTATTTTTTACCGGAAGATATTTGTTCTTAGAACATATCAAGGACAATCCACAGATCCACAGACCTTCTGGAGTCGAACAGCGTGGAAGCTAGTCATCACATTGAACTTAGGCTACCACTGATAAAATTATGAGGTGCGTAACGTGAAAACAGGARGCGAATAGCATTAAAAAGATTTTTTACCAGTGGAACGGAATTCAGTAATTTGTCAGTTTGATAAAAACCTTGAACAGGTATGACATTTAGAGCGTATCTTTAGCTTTGCCCTGAATGAAGGTCGTGTTTCAAAAACCCATCATGTTCATATTTACGACTTTAAATAAAATATACCAAGACAAAAACTTACCATYATTACACGAATATCGCACGCGTACTGAAGTCGCAACAAACATCTCTTTACAYAAGTCAAGTATCTTTTAGCTTTTTGGACAAGTACCAAACATAAGATAACACAAGATGGTGAACAAGAGTGATGGATGATTRTTCACATTTTTAGCAAGGTTCGTTATATTCGAGAGGAATTACGCGATGCATCCGGATTGATAACTAAAGTAAAACACTCTTGGTGAGCTAAGCTCCAACGTTGCAGTCTGATAAAATAATCCTATTTTACTGACACACTAATATATTATTAAATGGTTTATGCAATTAAAAATGCTGGCTTCTTTGGCAGCGCCCTTTAGCATAACATTCATTAAAATAAAATATCGTTCCGTTATCAAGGGTTTGGATTATATACTGGAGTAAGATCAGAGTAGTGYCTCATGTATGTTTTGATAGATTGTTGATTTGCCTTAAAAATTCTACTTTGTATTTAGGTAACAGACGAATCAAGGGTTTGGATTATACTGGAGTAAGATAAGAGCACTTTCTCATGTATATTTTGGGATGTGTTTGTTGATTTGTCTTAAAAGTTCTCCTTTTGTATTGAAGTAACAGATAATTTTTGTTTGACGATAGCACGCTTTGGACTTGAGAGGTTCCTAAATTTTAGGAGCAGATTGAGGTTCGCTTGTGATGAAGAATGAATGTCCAACGTATTTCAGGCCATTCCTTTTCTCATTTTTTGTCTAGTCTTTCTCCAACACACTTCAAAGTCAAAACTTTAATTTTTTTTCCGATGCAAGTAAAAGCTTTTACTCACTTTTCTTTGTTTTAAATCTTAAGTACTTTCGATTTCGTTGAAAACTGTTTGTTTATTTTAACAATGGATATCAGAGTAGGTGTATTGAAAAGGGGGCGAGTCTTTTTTTACCAATTTGTAGTTACATGATTCTTGGTGCTTTCTAACGGGCTAATGGACGATCTGTACGCCTTGAATCAACATTCATTTATCCATTATACATCGAACAAAGTGGTCATTTTGGAACTGTTTAGCTAATTATCGTAGACATAACAATTAACACAGCTTTCCTAACCACGTTATTAAAACAACCAACATGCAAGTCTTCCTTAAGAACAATGCATGAATCATTATAAGATAGGTCTTTCTGTTAAGTTATTGAATAACAGCCCGGCCGTATTCTAGGGAAGTGTTTGCACAGAAGAATCTCGTGATGCAAACGACTCGAATTAAATACATTGCATGATTTGGTTCGACAACGTTCAATTGTTCAATGCAAGACCTTTAAGCTCTTGAATACATGTATACACGAGAAGTATCACCAGCTGCTTCAGAAACCAGTAATCCTCGACAAATATTGGCCAACCATTAAATCTTTGAATYTTGATTGATTGTTCTCGATCAATAGGAAATGTTTCAGTTGAAAGGTCTTGTTGGGATAGATAGGCTAGATACATGGTGGACTCTTTAGTCAGTTGTATCGACATTGTTAACCGATACACAATCAATCATTTCTTTCGATTCATGTTCGTATTTTCTCACCTTGATCAGAGCAAGCAGAGCTCGCCCTGCAAGATAAATACGCTCAAAGTCGTTTTTGTAATCCTGTAACACGATGAACAAACAGTTTAGTATAAACAATAGGATCAAGGTACACAGTTTCTTGCTTTTACTGAAATCTTTGTTTAGTGATTAGGACAGTTATTTTCCATGCCGGATACCCGAAAACATTTTTTGCCAAACTCTAGCGAACTTGCCAGTTTTTTAATTCCAAAACAAACAAACCCTGGCTTCGCAACTCCGTTTATTTGACAAAGAACTTAGCATCAAAAACTGCGAATCCATTTTTCTCCGTTTTTGTGGTGACATTAAGTTCCTGTATTATCGCAATGTATTCTGTATTCCTGTATTCTCTTAAACTTTTATTTTTGTCTTGAATAAAGAACTAGAGACTACCACACTACTATCCATTACATTACATTTTACCAGTCTTGAGTTCATGACTAAACTAAACCCCCCCCCCCCCCCCCCCCCCCCCCCCGATCCTTACCCGGCAGCAACCATCCGGTTTTCCGCATAAAGATCCCAGATAAAATTTTCTTGGGTATATTCCTGACTTTATCCACTCCGTCACCTCGCACAATCCATATTGTTTTTTTCATTAGCTTCATTTTTGTCCCTCATCAAATTTGTACACACAATTCGTACTCTGATTCGTACTTTATCTTAACATGTTCCACTATCTGGTAATGCCGCGTAATCAACAAAAAGGTATTCATTATTTACAAGGTAGATGCAGAAAGCATAATCAGTCATTAATGTAGCGCATGCCTACTTCTTTTCACGCGCTTCTTTTCTTTTCCATGTCCGTTAACTGTGCGAACACAAGGCCTGATTGTAAAAATCCAAGAAAATTGTGAAGAAAAATATGAGACTTTTACTTTAATAAAAAATATGTATGCCTACTTCTTTTCGCGCTCTTTCTTTGCCGTATCCGTTCACTGAACTGAACACACGGATTGAATGTACAAACTCGAAGAAAATTGTGAAGAAATATTTGAGATTTTACTTTAATAAAAAATATGAAGTGTAGTTCAAAATAACGTTCAACACTGTTAAAAATAGTACTTCGTATTTTATCGTTTGGAGTTCAAAGATGCTATTGGCTCTACGTGCTTGTAGTGACGTCATATCCTATACGTTATCGTTCTTGATCATGTCAACATCTTTGGTTAAATTTTCTTTGCACAGACCCCCAGCAGGTATCTAAATAACAATGCAAACCCTCATAAATCTTTTCCCTGTCTTTCTGTCTTTCCGGTCTGTCAGTTCACGGAAAATGCCTTCTACAGCTAAAAACTGGACCCAACATGGTASTCAATGGGGATTAAGGATTTTGGTATACAGATGATCCCCTGCTTTCAAAGCCACTTGTTTCTGCACCACTGATATGCATTCACTCTTACAATAACCCGCTTTAYACGGACACCCTGTTCATACGGATATTTTTCCCGCTCCCCTGGGTGTCTGTATAACACTAAGATTCGACGGTAGAACTATAGGAAGCTCGTAAGGCATGTCCACTAGTTGCTACTTATTGAACTAGCTGATCGATTCATTTTGCTCCTGAAATGRCAGTTAGTGAGTACAGCTAAAATCTACTTGGACTGGCCTTTGAACAAGGCCTTCCACTTGTGCGCTGTACTTCACTCCATTCATCAACGATCAGCAAATCAAACAAAATGACACACTTACAAAGACATGACTGTACAATAATGCATATGCATCTGCAGGGCTGAGAAATTGTGTCAACTGAAAGGAACGATGGGTTTGTCAGTACAGATTTTTTGCTGGTGCATTCCAGCCCAAAATGTGCATTCATTTAACTGGATCACTTGGTCACCGAAATCATCACGGAGACCACAATATCCTGAAATAACCACCTTTCAAAAGATGGGCACTCATTTGACCCTTAAAATTTTCAGCTGCGCAATACTGTGCCATATAATCCAAGGGAACATTTGAACAAAACTATGTATTCCCGTCAAATCATCTCTGAGCCAGTCCACAGATTGTCCACCTCCTAATAATGGGCCTCAAACGTGTTACCTAGGGAATCTCAAATACTGTGATACAGTCAAGCATAAAAATTAAACTAGGCTGTGTTTCCGGTCAAATAATTTCTCGGGCCACAACATTAACCACCCACTCCAGCAAAAATCGACCAATGTCATACACGTTAGAAAGTCTAGTCAACGGAAAATCATTACTCATACCAACCTATTTTTAATTCTCGTACAGGACACCGCAAGTAAGAATAACGTTAAAACGACTGGCTAAAAATAAATAATATATAATACAATATATATAATAAATCCAAAGTGGGAGACATTGCAGTCTGATGAGAATTATATTTTTGAACACTTTAATCCAGGAAAAGATCACGATCAGGAATATTTCTTTTGTACGAAGGAATTGCTCAAGAACATGACAAATAATACGGTCAGTTTGAAAAGTAACACGACAAAATTGACCGCACGGTTTTTGAAAGATGATGATTTCAAAAGACTTCTCAAACCAAATGCTAACATTCTTCGAATAGGAATGAGTATCAATCCATCCAGAGTTACAAGTTATTAGGATATTATTAATCTTTCAGCTAGATAGGGTGGTAACATAAAAACTTTCAAGAAAGGCATGGTTTTCCTACTTTTAGCTGTAAATTATTCGTCTATGAAGGAGTACCAAATAAAGAGTGTGTAAATTGACCATCCATATTTTAGCCATCAAGAACAAAGAGGGGAGGATGAGGACTGTAAGGGCTACAACTTAGCATACCCTTAGTCATTGATCTATAGACCGTATTCCATAGTGTCGTAGCAAGAACAAAGAGGGGAGGATGAAGACTGTCAGGGCTACAAGTTACTAGCATACCCTTAGTCACTGATCTATAGACTGTATTCCATAGTGTCGTAGCAAGAACAAATAGGGGAGGATGAAGACTGTCAGGGCTACAAGTTACTAGCATACCCTTAGTCATTGATCTATAGACTGTATTCCATAGTGTCGTAGCAAGAACAAATAGGGGAGGATGAAGACTGTCAGGGCTACAAATTACTAGCATACCCTTAGTAAGTGATCTAGACTCTATGCCATAGGGTGGTAACATGAATCAAAATGTTAAACATGGTTTTCCCCACTGATCACTTGACTTTTGTTCGGCACAGGTAAGGGGTTTCGGGAAAGAAAAGTGCCAGTCAGGAATTYGATAGAACTGAGGAGGAATTAAACGCTAGCCATTTTAGATAAAATTGAGAGAGGAGCAGAAGGTTTGGGAAAAACTAAATTGGGCTATATGCTGTGCGCTCTTGAAATAATTAAAGTAAAGCAAAGTAAAGATATCCGATCCACACTTCCCAAAGGATTTATTCGAAAACTCTTGAACTAAGCTGGGATCTCGTTTTTTTGTCAGCTTCCGGGTGACGCGCAGGAATGAAGAAACATGCTGGAAGAGGCGCAAAACCACGATAACACAGTACAAAAACTGTTTCCGCTAGTGTAGCAAGTGGAGTGAATGAAAAAACATGCTCGAAGAGGCGTAAAACCACGATAACACAGTACAAAAACTGTTTCCGCTAGTGTAGCAAGTGAAGTTCCCCCGCTTTAAGAACATTTGGGTATTTTATTAAACTGCGCACTTTGAACTCAAGTTAAATGTGTGATATGAAATGGCCTATGACTTACTTTGATCTCGACTTCATCCTAAAAATATGCTGTCTTAATAAGTACTTACTAAATAGTAGGCCGTATCTCGGYTACCATCTTTGGCTATCGATTTGAAATGATTTGTCTAATCGTCCAGCTTGTCTTAAAAGAGTAACTAGTTAAATACCACAACATTGGCCAAAGTGGCCACGTAATTATCAATCGATCAAAAAAATATACCTTTTCTACTTTGATGTGATTATTGATTGGGTTTGTTATGCATCGTGACAGCTTAGAAAATCTTTTATCTTCTGCTACGATAGCTTCATGACACCTAATCCAATGTGTGTACACAGTTACGAAAGGTTGGGACAAAAGATGCATCTATTGAGAACACAAAGAATGTCTCTATAATCCCTCCAAACTGACAGCTACTTAGTTCTGATGTTCTAGACTAAGCCTTAATCACCATTTAGCTGGGTTTCAAGTAAGGCATTTGTTGGAAGACATTCCTATAAACGACAACTGATAAACCGCGTTTTTTGAAGGCCAATCAATAGATGGACGAAGTATGGATGAAGTATCGAGTCCGTTTTTGAAAACCGAGTAATCAAACTGTCTTAGCACTGTCAAAATGCTTTTATTTTCATTTAGGTGCGACAAAATCAGTTCATTTATGACAAGGTCATTGAAATCGAAGTTCAATTACTATTCTCAAATGTTGTTGGAAGACGTAAAGCCTGTGTGTTGATGGACTTGCCATTTTTACCTGCTCCACGTCTCGTTACACGTTGCTAGAAAGCATGCGATTTTTAGGGCAAATCTCTGTACCCATATAGCACCGTTCAAACCAGTGTCTATATGATTTCATATTTTCTTCTCTTCTTATCATCAATGTCAAGTATTAAAATTGTTTCGTTTTAAAGTGATGGAAATCTTGCAGGTGAATTATGTCTAACGAAAGGTTTCTTTCGCTGCCACCAATTCGGACTGTCAGTTCGGTCGTACTACGTGGCGCCCTCTTGTTAATTTTCAATTTATGAGAAAAAGAATTAAGGTGAATAGAGTCAAATACCCATCACTCAAGATTTCATTACTCAACTTATCCTTGAAGTATGTGTCCAAGCTGTTTAATATCAAAATAAGAGGGAAATTTTACTTTTTTTCTTATAGATACTAGAATTAAACCACACTGAGAAAGTATCTGTCTTTTTTATGAAGTTATCAAGCTTTCTGAGATAAAGATATGGTTATGATATAGTCTGATGGTGTGGCTAGGTCGTTGTGAAGTGTATATGTGAGGTATTTTGCTGTCATACTATGAAGGACAAATCAAAAAGGGAATCTTGACACAAGTTGTGACCCTTTCCGGCTAAGGGCAGTAATTGCATGGATTGTTGGATTTTTCAGGAAATCTCATATAGTCGTGCTATCAGGACGATTTTAATCTGCAGCCATCAAGCAAAATGAACAATCTGCAAGCTTGTCTAAGCCATTAGATATATCGTTCTCTGTTCATCGACCTGACAGAGCACAAATCCGATTATCAAAAGCTAAAGTTTACGGATTAGCTGAACACGTTTTTCACACATCTACTCGAAAAGAAAATCCTTTTAAAGTGATTCATTGATTCATATTATGAGAATATGTCAATGGGATAGAGTTTTCTTAAAGCGTATTTTTCTCTTTTTTGAAATAGTTTAAGCTGCAGCTTGGAAGTACTTCAGTTTTGCCATTTTTTGTTTAAGTCAACAATTTCCAGTGAACAAAAGTGATCCTTGCTTGAAGGTTTTCAACACTCGTACGCTACTTTGGCATTTCCGATTCACAATTTCAATTTGTTTTGTTTGTCTTGTAAAAGTATTGCACTTATCTAAATTATTTTTAAACTCGCTGTGATCAACACCTTGCCAACCAACCAATCACGCTCGAGTCTGTGTTGTGTTAGAGGCTCCAACACTTCAGTGGGGCCCGCCCAGATTTCCGGTTTAATGCCACACACAAATTAAGCGCGACTGAAACTTGAAAATACCTTCAGTCATCAGCTTTCCTTAGCTTAGACAAGACCCAAAGACGTAGGAGTTTACTTGTTAAGGCAAAACTCAAACCACCCCACAAAGAAACAATAGAGGGTCATTGTGCGTGTGCTAAAGGCCAGCTAAAGTCATGTTTCAAGGACAATCAAGGCATTTTCATCCGTTTTCCATTGACGGGATCCTAAATAATCACAGAGCAAAACCTTGTGAAACATCTCCTAACACAAAGATTGATGAATGCAATTTTCATTGTTCGACAAAAGTTGGAGAACGCCATCTTTATRAAGAGACAGGAGAAAGGCCCAAGAAGCGTTCACGATCAGAAGACYCCGACGACGACGAGATCGAAAGGCACAAGCCCTCAGAAGACGACGAATACTTAAGTAAGGCTTTATACTTATTTAAAATTAAGGGATATATATGTATGTGTTTTTGTAAGACTCCAGTAAATCAGAATATTACCAGGACTTTGCCCTCACATGAAAATGTCGAAATAATCACAACATTTGAATTGCAAAGCTAACATTTTAAGATTTGAAGGGGAAAAAATCTTTCGGTTTTGACTATCAATCAAAAACTTGACTTCAAAAGACACTCCAAATGAATCAAGCAACGATTTCCACTTTCCCTAATTGTATTTGACTCTATTGTTGGCGCCTTCAATGATTCACCAAATGACGTTCCTTCAAAGCATTTCTCATACGTCTATTTATTGGTAAGTGTCTTGACTTGACCAGCTTAACGAGTACCTACAAAGAGACTTAGGAATAGGAGTATTATGTCATTTTCTGTCACAGAACTCTCGAAGCTTAGATGATTGCCGTACTCCAAATAAATGGATCGTCATTAGAGCCCCATCGAGTAAAGCATCAGAGGGCAGATTTCAGCTTCATGTTTTAGTTCAATGCTTCAACGAATTATATCCTTCCGCTTCTTTAACTAAATAGCCCTTGAAGAGCCTTCGAGCCAAAATGGAAATCGTTTCTAAATTATCCCTGAATTACAAGAAAATTAAAATAATATATTAACAATAAAAAGTGAATTGGATCCTTTTTAGAATCAAGTGGCACCTTTTCTCGTTAAAAACTGTATCAGATCGGTTTAAACAATATCCATTGCTTATCAATCTAGTGCCTGAATCTTAATTTCTCTCTCCTCTTCATGATTGAATTTCTATGGCATTATAGTTGTCTCATTTAACAAGACAGTTGTAGCTTGAAAATCGTCTTTCATTCGTTATTCTATTTGTCTTGTGAGTCGCGCAATGTTATTCAGACCGGCGTGCCGGAAAAACAACTTTGCACCGGTGTAACAAACTGCTTGGAAAGGCAATGTGTTTTGGCAAGCTGGGCATTTACTATACGAAGCTGGGACCATAAGCGAGATGTAAAACGCAGTCAAATCTTAGATATTCTAAATCACTTCTATTTTAGTTAACATGAATTAAACTGTAAAACCGTGAGAAATATCGCACGTTTTTCCACTTTGAAATTCAGTTTGCGAGCCATGCTGCAAACAGTCAAAAGATCATAAAACCAATTCAGGGACTTTGAAACCCGCACCATCTTTAGACTGGAACAAGGACAGAACTGATAGAAAGGTGTTTAGAATTTGTTAGCCTTTTGCGTTAAAACTGTACTCAAAAACGTGATTAACTTCTCATGTTCTCATATAAAGAGTAATACCTTTTGAAATATGAACGAAAGGCTTCTTTGAGTTTCTTTGTCCATACATTGACGCGTGGTTTATTTCTTGAAGAAATTTCGTTTAAAGTACAAAGGTTTTCCAGAGTAAGCAGTTATAACAGGGTGCGCTTTTTGTAGTTTATAGGTATATAAATACGCCAAAGCCTATAAAGCTGCATTTAAATCAGAATGATAACTGAAGCCTTAAGTTAAAACTGAACTCAAGTTGAACACTTGTAAGATCGAGTCGAGATTTCAGTGCCTGAAGCCGCGCTTTAACCCATCTCCCCAATTATACTCCGTCCTCTATGAAGTAGYACTGCGAACTGACTACTGTAGAACTATGATAAACAACTAAGCAGGAAAACGAGCAATCACAAATCATACTTCAATACCCAGAAAAATATTCATATACCAAGTATCTATGGTTACAAGCATTCAAGTATATTGAGTCCACGTTTGAATGCTTGAGGATTGGCTTAACTATGGTCTAATACTGTTCTCATCAGTTACGCCGACCATAGATAGCACTAACAAACGGGATCTTTGAGTTGTGCGCCGAGTACGTTTGGTTTACAGGAATATCATCCTGATAATTTTGGTTTGTGATTTCGATCGTTAGTTTTTGATCAACGAACATGAACAGTTGCATGGTTTAACTGAATTCCTTCTCAAATACAGTGGTTAAGTATGGACGTGATATATGAAGAATCGTTAATCAGGAAAAGAATCTGTTCATATTTGAAATATGCGATTACTAAACCTCAAAGCTATGATGACACCACTTACTGGACTAAATACAAGTATAAGACTTGGATGAATTTGAACCACATATATTTCATATGTACCACTGACAATATTTTTTCTATACAGCGTTTTACGTTATGCTATATGCATGGAGCAGGGAGTAAGGTGTGAACATGCCTCAGGATTCAGTCCAATTTTAATTGGATCATGATAAACTAATTCCAATTTTCGTTCGCCGGAACCAGAAAACCCGCGTTATCGTTTGTTTTCATAAACCTCAAAACTTCCATAGCCCAAATCTATCTTTTTTCGGATCACATACTCCTTTTTTTGGCACTGGACTTTGACACACGCCCCTGATATCGTTTTGTTTCATTGAAAGGAAGCCCTTATAATCTTGATCCATTGTGCTAGATATCTATTATAATCCATTCCAGAATGAGACTAATCCCTTAGGACAAAAACATAATTGTTACCATGTATTTACCTTGAAGTGAATAAACATCCAAAATGTACACAAAGATTATAATAACCTTAACTGAGTAACTAGATAGTATTCCTGATGAATATGTCTACAATTATCGACGGATTAAAATGTCATGTGCTAGTTCGTCATGGTAATAAGCTTTATCCACATTCTTCAATCCAAAACCGCCTTATCATGTACTTCAGAACAATTCTAAACCATGGTTTAAAAAAGAGTTGAAGAATAAGAATAAAGTTATGGTAATCAGCTTTGAAAAACCTGGACGCGTTGCTAGCTGAGCGATTTGTCGTGTCGTAGCACGCATGTGCCTTAGTAATACCTTTGAAGGAGATTTCACAGTAAGCTGTCTGTCTAAGGGTTTTTTGGCGTTTTGAAACATAACCGCCTTTTCCTTAAAACGATCTTTACAAAAATACTTTAAAAAGGATGAAAAAACGCAACCAAATAGTCCCGTTAACCTGACATTAGTTCATTCATTCGGTTCATCTGTAGTAGTGTAAGCAAAATTTGACCAGTACTAGTGAAGTGGTTGAATCTGAAAAATGTCTTGGCAAATGGTGGTCAAAAAGCACTCAAGACCAAACGCATCAAATGCCATCTTTTGTAATTGGACGCGGCCAATTTGTTTTTTCCAGCAAAGTTTAAAAAAAGAATGGTGAAAAAAATAGCACCATGAAATCCTAAATAAGGTTTAGCGAGATTGTATGCAGAGCTAGCTTTACGCGTTCTCGCTCATACTCATGCTCATGCTCATACAAAATTACTCATTTTTTGTTGCTTTCTTTTTGAAGGAGATGATACGGATGAAGAAACAGCCTTGGATGTCGAAAACCAGCATCACTCCGAGCGAGAAACATGTGAGCAGCAACAAAAATCAACCGGCAAGAAGAAGAAACGCATTCTCTTCACAAGGTCTCAAATCTTCGAGCTAGAAAGACGATTCAGGTTTCAACAATATCTGTCTGCTCCAGAGCGCGAACATCTTGCTCGAATGATCAATCTTACACCTATCCAAGTTAAAATATGGTTCCAGAATCATCGATACAAGTGTCGACAAAGATTCAAGCAGAATTCCCCTTCCGAAAGAGAGCTTGTGGATTATGGACATCAAGGGCTATCACGTGGGTATTCCAAACCCGATCTTGCGGACTTTACAGGTTATACAAGTAGACAATGTAACTACCCAAGCTATCAGGCGATATATCCTAACTGGAGTCATACCGCTTATCCTGGACGAATTTTGCAGGACTTGAGGACAAATGGTGATATTCATTCCCCAAATGTAATAAGCCCTTTATCAAATACTCTTTACGCTATCCGCTCTTCTTATCCTTTTGCGTTAGATGGATTTTATGAATAGTTATATCATTATTTGTGATCATTGTTTTGATTGCAATACAGTCAAAAGCTATATATATATATATATATATATATATAAAGATCCAGTTCATCAAATTATAATATTACTTTTAACAGTCAAGCTAGTTAGAACACACAGTGAACAGTTAGGGTTTAATTAAAATCAGTGTAAGTGGAAGAGATTTATTTTCGACCCAAAGAAAAGGATTCCTATCTGCTTGTGTCCCAATATTGATTCCATAATTGTAGAAGGTATTAAACAATCCCCTTTCTATCTTTCTCTATACTTATTATTTAAGAGTTAGTTTACCTGTCACACACATAGAAGACGAAGATATGCTTTGGCCTCAATTACTTCTTCACATGACCAGGAGTTACCTTTCTTACCTAAATATAATACATTTGTCAAATCCATTATCTATCTATTGAGGCTTTGCACCACCAAAGGATTGGTCATTGATTAGCGTGCTTCCATTGAGTTTTGGGTGCATGCTGAAGGAAGGAAGCATGTGCAGCCATGACAGAAGGCACAACAAGAGTCTCTTTTTTCCTTAGGAAACTGAATTATTTTCATAAAAACCAGGCAAGACCAGATTCAATTGTTCCTGCCTCCTGTCATGGCTGCCATCGCTTTATATTGTACTCAGCTTATGTGTGTTATATTTCTTAATTATTTTTAAGAAAATGTTAACATTACACGAGTGCTACCGTTTCCCCTTCCAATAGGCTACATCCCGGCTCCATCTTTAATGCACCTAGATTTTTACCAATATTATTTTTAATTCATAATGAATTCCTATTTTGATAATATAAAATAAAATAGCCAAATATATAGAGGTTTTGCATCAGCCATGTTTAAGTTCAAAACAGTAGAATTTTTCTCCTTTTRGCAATGAAATCTCATTTTTATGCAAAAACACTGCATTGCTCCATTCATGTTTCATGAGAGTCGTGAAACAACACTTTCTACAAATGAAAGTATAGCAATACAGAGAGTTATTTATATGATTTTACCATCGCTGATAAGTAGATGAATATAAAAGAAATAGATATTTAATTATTTAGTATATCAAGAATCTACAAAAAATCACAATAAAATGTATATATTTAACACTGAGGAATGCAAACATGAGATTGTTATTTTATAATTAGTTGTTCTGTACAAAACATTTTCAAGACATGAATAAAATATTGCTAAAAAGTTACATACACGTTTCTTTTCTCTTTTTTTTTAGATTTCTTTAATCCTCTGTTTCTCTAATGTTAATAATAAATATTGCCTATATAGCGCAACATGCAAACTATGTACATATAATTTAACAAGTATAAAAGCTGGATGACTTGAAAGAACGAAAACCATTAAAAACTACAATTACTCATTTGAATTCACTGATTTTATTCATTTATGTTTTTTGTTGCAGTAATTCTTGAGAAGGTGGTATGTACATTATTTAAATGACCTAAAAAGAAAACAAATTACTCCCCCGCCCCACCCATGCACGTTTTTGGGGTTCTCCCTACACCCCTGTAGCTCATTCAGCTCAGTTGTGTACAACAGCACTGAAAGGCAAGCAAGTTCAACGAGGACTCAGTGTTAACACGATGCTTCGCACCACACGTTGAATACCAGAACAATTTACTTACGTAGATTCAATCAGCGTGCCGCTTCGAACGTAACAGCAATTCTTGACCATATAAACCACGTGCACCAGCAGAGACCTTTTTTCTTTGCGTCCAGAGACTATATAAGATGAAGTAAAAGTAAACGACTTCGTTCAATCTCAAGTTGATTTTTCCTTGCGGCATGCTTGATGACCACAAAATGTTTAAAAAAAGCCCGCGAACTAGCAGTCTTCTACGCAGCCGCTGTTACCGYGTAGGGTCATCTCTAGTAGATGACCCTAACAATAGCCGCGTAAGAGAATAGCGAACTGAGGAACCTTTGAGGGATATTAATGTGAAAAGCAACTCAATTATTCTATACTAAAAAGTAAAAGAAAGTATGGGTACTTTTGTACTTTTATATTAATCATTTCCTTGATGGAGATCTATGTCTAGATAATATTGCATATTAAGTTGTATATTCATTGCGTTGCACTCGAGCAATGAAGAGACAACCGTCATTTTACTAGTTAAACAAGCATTTTTTTAGTCACACAAAAAGTACAAGATACAGTTAAGCCTATATAAAGGCGTTGAAACACACTTACCAGTATAATACAAAGCTTTCTTCCATCTTTACCTAAATTATAGTTAGCCAGGAGCGTTCGAGTGCTGTCCTTGTAAATCGTGTAAACTTGCCTTCGCATGCACTCTTATTGCCAGGTTCTGCTGCAGAATCTTTAGAAATAGGCCCCAGGATATGGGAAATCATTTCGGACCAGAAAAGCAACGTATACTAGTTCTCAAGGCTTTTATGTTCTAGTAAGAAATACAAATACAAGACTGATTCACTTCTCGTAGCCATATTTTCTTCGTGTTAATGTGCAAGGCGTTCTAAACGTGTGACGGTGGCGGTAGTACTAGTCCTGGGTTCTAAGAAAAATGCGCGGGAAACTTGCGGCGTAGCCATAAATGCTTCGCGCTGCCATACAACGGTTTTGCACTCAATGTCTGTAAGTATAGTCCTTATTTTAAATGGATCAAAAAGTACAAAATTCCAAAATCACGTTTCCATGACAGCAAATAAACTTTGGAATAGATCAAATTTACTATGATGCACGTTCCGATCTTAGCTTTCATTAACTAACGCATCCCACATGGAAAGGAATGAGTATGCGTTCAAAGACATCAGCGTAAAAATCAAGATTTTTGAGTTTGCTGGTCATAGCAAGGGGTTAATCATCTTTTGCAAGTAAGCTCACGATTGCCGAT